ATGTTGAGATTTGCTTCTTAAAATAGTAAACATAACTATGTCATCACCTCAGGTTAAAACACTTACCAAATATGGCTGTCCAGATCATATGAAAGGTCAAAATAAGTTTAAATTGTTAATCAAACTCATGAAGGCTTCCATACATCTTCCAATCCAAACATACATTACAGATGATGTCTCTTTAAATGTTGAAACTAGTATATCAGCTCTGCCTCAAAACTTGGAATTGTGCACCACGAAAGAAAAGAGAAAACTCCCACAGAGTAGTAACGTTGGTTTTAGGGCAAAACATCAGAAAGAAAGCCACTCACATTTAGAAAGTGTATCAATAGCTTGTAATTCCCTATAAACTCATGCAGATGCATATACCATCCAATATGTTTGGACCGATCTTATACTCTGTTGGTGCTAACTCCTTAGATGTCCTGACCAATAAAGCTGTCTTAGCTTACAATAATGAATGAATATCCAAAAAAAAGGTAGAACTTCTATAGAGTAGTAAGGTTACCTTTAAGGCAGAATGATCTAAAATAAACCACTTACATTTATAGTGCATTAGTGTCATTACCTTTCTAATAGCTGTGAGATTTAACCATTGGATAGCTTCTGAATGTACAGTGTACTCATACATTAGGGGAGATCCACAGCTCTCACCAATTTTTGTCTATGTTTTCCATTGGTAAAACACAGCTGAAGCCAATTAAAGCCATCACTATAACCAGATCCTTATGCCAAAACAGCTGATATATCTGCTCAACCCAAAAGGTAGTCAAGCACTCAGAAAAAGGAGAAAAAATAGCTTTCATAAAGTAGCAACATTTTATTAAAAATATAATAGACTAAGAGACAACCAATCACAATAAAAATGCATCAGTCGCACTACACTCTCACAAGCATCAAGATGTAGCTGCAGAGTAACCTTTTAGAAAAGTAACCATCACAGGGGGGAATAGATAAATTATCACTAACGACAATCAAAAACACCAACCAGACCACCACAGTCAGCTGCGCGATGACGTCAACACTTGACGCATTTCAGCATAATGCCTTTATCAGGAGTGTATGATGTCAAAAGCACAAACTGATTTATACCTCTGCTACCTTACATTTCTTAGTGAAGGTCTTCATAAATGGTGTCACTCAAATTTTTCCTTCTGTTTGTTCCTCAGTGACCCCACATGTTGTCAGTTTGGATCTGCTGGTTTTTCAGAAACCTCCCTTTAAACCTTTTATTATTATTATATTATTATACAGGACTTATATAGCGCCAACAGTTTGCTCAGCGCTTTACATTATGGAGGGAAACAGTACAGTAACAATACAGTTCAATACAAGAGGGATTATAGGGCCCTGCTCCTTGGAGCTTACAATTTAGGAGGAAGGGGATAGTGGTACAAGAGGTAATTACCTGGTGGGGATGGAGTGGTAGGAGGAGAAGGGGATTCCAGTATTAGCTGGGGTCGGGGTAGGCTTCCCTGAAGAGATGGGTTTTCAGAGTGCGCCTGAAAGTGAGCAGAGTAGGCGATAGCCTGATATCTTGGGGTAGGGAGTTCCAGAGGATGGGTGAAGCCATTGAGAAGTCCCGGAGACGAGCATGGGAGGAGGAAACAAGGGAGCTAGAGAGTAGGAGGTCTTGCAAGGAGCGGAGAGTACGGTTTGGGTGGTATTTAGAGACAAGGTCGGTGATGTAATTAGGGGCAGTGTTATGGACGGCTTTATACGTCAGTGTTAGTGTTTTGAAATTTATCCGTTGGGCAATTGGAAGCCCGTGGAGGGATTGGCAGAGAGGGGTGGCAGATACAGAGCTGTTAGTAAGGTCAATGGGTCTGGCAGCAGCATTCATGATGGACTGGAGTGGGGATAGCCTGCGATGAGGTAGGCCAGTGAGGTGGGAGTTACAGTAGTCGAGGCATAATATAATAAGGGAGTGAATGAGTTGCTTAGTGGTTTCTGAGTTTAGGAACGGTCATATCTTGGAGATGTTGCGGAGGTGAAGTTTACATGAGTTTGTCAGTGATTGGACCTGGGGCTGAAAGGACAGATTGGAGTCTAGGATTATACCTAGTACCCTGGCGTGAGGGGTGGGACTGATGGTAGTGTTGTTGATCTTGATGGAGAAGTCAGGGGGGGACACGGGCTGGGGGGAATACTAGAAGCTCAGTTTTGGAAAGGTTGAGTTTGAGGAAGTGGAGTGATATCCAGTCCGATATGTCACTTAGTGGGCTGGTGATGCGATTGGAGACTGAGGGGTGAGGTGAGGGGTAGAGAGATAGATTTGTGTGTCGTCGGCATAGAGATGGTAGTTGAAGCCGTGGGAGTTTATCAATTGGCCAAGGGAGGAGGTGTAGATGGAGAAGAGGAGGGGTCCGAGGACAGAGCCTTGAGGGACCCCGACAGAGAGAGGGAGTGAAGGGGAGGTGCCAGCGTTATAGGTAACACTGAAGGAGTGCTGTGATAGATAGGAGGAGAACCAGGAGAGAGCGGAGTCTCTGAGGCCAAGAGAGTGCAGTTTTTTAAGGAGGAGCGGGTGGTCAATCGTGTCAAAAGCCGCAGAGAGGTCAAGTAGTAGGAGTATAGTATAGTGGCCATTGGTTTTGGTGGTTAGTAGGTCATTGGTGAGTTTGAGTAGGGCAGTTTAGGGCAGTAGGTGGAGTGTAGGGGCGGGAGCCTGACTGTAAAGGGTCGAGAAGGTTGTTGTCGGTGAGATGGGAGCTCAGGCGATTGTAGGCTAAGTGTTCTAGGAGTTTAGAGGTAAATGGCAGTAGGGAGATGGGTCTTAGGTTGTTCAGGTCGAGGGGTCCAGGGAGGGTTTCTTGGGAGTGATGTGCGCATGCTTTAGAGGGGAGGGGAAGGTACCGGTGGAGTGGAAAAGATTGAAGATGTGAGTGAGGGAGCATAGGATGGAAGAGGAGGGGGACTGCAGGAGTTGTGAGGGGACAGGGTCCAGGGGGCAGGTGGTGAGGCCGGCTTCGGAGAAAATCTTAGTGACCTCTTCGGTGGTAGTGAGGTCAAGGGAGCAAAGTGTTGAGGGGGTTATTGTGTGAGGAGCGCTAAGTGGGGTGGGTGTCTGAGCAGTGGCGAAGTCCCTACAAATTGCGTCGATCTTGTTTTTGAAGTGGTTAGCAATCTCGTGGGCGGTAAGTGAGGTACTGGGTGGAGGTGAAAGTACAGAGTTAAAAGTGGAGAAGAGCCGGCGAGGACTGGAGGAGAAGGTATTAATGAGGGTAATAAAGTAGGCTTGTTTGGCAGCGTGAAGGGAGGAAGTGTACATTAAGAAGGCAGATTTATAGCGGGTGAACGCTTGTTGGGATTTGGCTTTACACCATAGTCACTCCAGCGCACGACTATGTCGTTTGAGGTTTCTGGTGTGGTTGGTCTGCCAGGGTTGTAGCGGTCGGGGCCTAATGCTCCATGTTGTTGGGGGTGCGAGCGAGTCTAGAGCGGCTGAAAGCGAGTTGTTGTAGACAGTAGTGGCCAGGGCAGGTCAGGGGAAGGATTCTGTCGTAAAGTTGGTCAGTTGCAGAGTGGAAGGGAGCAGGGTTCCAGTTCCGGAGGTTTCTGCTGGTAATTGTTTGCCATTTGGAGGGATAGGTGTTTGAGGACGAGGAGACGGAGGAGGTGATGAGGTTGTGATCGGAGAGAGGAAAGGGGGTGTTTGTGAGGTTGCAGGGAGTGCAAAGGTGAGAGAAGACAAGGTCAAGAGTGTTCCCGTCATAGTGAGTGGAAGACTATATGCACTGTGCTAGTTCAAAAGAAGAGGTTATGTGGAAGAGTTGGGATGTAGCCGGGTTATTGATGTTGATAGGGATGTTGAAGTCTCCGAGAATGATAGTGGGTAGCTCAGAGGAGAGAAAGAAGGGTAGCCAGGTGGCGAAGTCGTCAAGAAAGCAGCACATGGGTCCAGGAGGCCGATAGATACTACTCAGAGAGAATGGAGAGAATAGCCAGATGCAGTGGGTCTCGAAGGAGGAGAAGGATAGAGAGGAAGGGTTAGGGAGGACTTGGAAGTTGCTCAGTGGTAACAGGAGCAAACCAACCCCACCACCTTTCCGACCACTGGGTCTGGGTGAGTGGGTCCAGATGAGACCTCCATAGGAGAGTGCTGCGGGGGAGGCAGAGTCTGTTGCTTGGACCCAGGTTTCGGTGATCGCTAGGAGGTTACGGGAGCGGGAGACATAGAGGTCATGGATGGAGGTGAGCTTGTGGCAGACCGAGCGGGCGTTCCAGAGTGCGCATGAGAGGTGGTTTTGGGGAGCTGTTTGGGTGGAGCAGGCGGACAGAGAAAAGAGATTTTCGGGACGCAGGAGAGGAATATGAAAAGGAGGAGTAGAGGCGGCATTTCCAAAGGTAAACAGAGTGGGAGTCAGGTGTGGAGAAGAGTTTCCCTGGGTGCTTGATTGCAGATGGTCCAGTGTGCAGTGGAGTTTTTCGTAGTTTTAGGGATACTCTTTTGTTTATCCCTACTCTCTTGGCTGCCTTTCTTATTGCCATCACTTCTACAGGCGAGTCTCTGAATTGGCAACCTTAAAGTGGTATTAAACCTAAAACATAAATATAATATACTCCAGCTTACCAATCTTTAAAGTTGGTGGCTGCATAATTTTTGTTAGGCTTTTTTCCCCCTTTATTTTCTTTTTCTTTTCAAATCGTTTTGTTAGAGTTTTAATAAACAAATAGAACAATGCAGGTTCAGAGTACGAAATAAATAACACATTTGCATATCACCTTGACATACATAGATTCGTAAAATTGCGGAGCGTAAAAGTGACACATCGATGATAACCAATATATTCATACATTAGCGAGTAAAGCAATGAAAGTCGGTTATGCCACCAATCTAAATGATCACAGATAACAAATCATACCGTGTTTGCATAACACTCTGCTTAGTATATTCACATTAGGCCCAAATAAACGGGTCCACCTGAACCTGACTACCAAAACATATACCGTATTTTTTGCTCCATAAGACGCACCTGACCATAAGATACGCCTAGGTTTTAGAGGAGAAAAACAAGAAAAAAAAATATTCTGAACCAATGGACTGCAGACACAGTACAGGAGATGACCAGAGACTGCGGACATAGTACAGGAGATGACCAGAGACTGCAGACATAGTAAAGGAGATGACCAGAGACTGCAGCCATAATACAGGAGATGACCAGAGACTGCGGACACAGTACAGGAGATGACCAGAGACTGCGGACACAGTACAGGAGATGACCAGAGACTGCGGACACAGTACAGGTAATGACCAGAGACTGCAGACAGTACAGGAGATGACCAGAGACTGCGGACACAGTACAGGAGATGACCAGAGACTGCAGACACAGTACAGGGGATGACTAGAGACTGCGGACACAGTACAGGGGATGACCAGAGACTGCGGACACAGTACAGGGGAAGACCAGAGACTGCGGACACAGTACAGGGGATGACCAGAGACTGCGGACACAGTACAGGGGATGACCAGAGACTGCGGACACAGTACAGGAGATGACCAGAGACTGCGGACACAGTACAGGGGATGACCAGAGACTGCAGACAGTACAGGGAATGACCAGAGACTGTGGACATAGTACAGATGACCAGAGACTGCAGACAGTGCAGGGGATGACCAGAGACTGCAGACAGTAAAGGAGATTACCAGAGACTGCGGACCTTTTGGAAGGGAGGGGGAAAGGGTACCTGAATTTGACAGGTATCCGCTCCCACTTTCGCGGAGTTGTCCTTCCTTCTTCTTCCCGCTGCGGCTTCTGTGACAGCCGGGTGCCCACCGCGCATGTGCGAGAAGCGCTGCGCTTTGTGAATAGCCCGGAGCCTTCTGGGACCTGTCATGTGTCCCAGAAGATGCCGGACCATTCAGAAAGCGCAGCGCTTCTCGCGCATGCAAAACCGGACTGGCCGCTTTACATTCGCTCCATAAGACACACCGACATTTTCCCCCCTTTTTTGGGGGAACAAAAGTGCGTCTTATGGAGCGAAAAATACGGTACTTAGTGGTAACATAAGAAAGGAAGAAGTAAACAAAACCAAGATAAGGTGGAAAATAAAGGAGAAGAAGTAGAATTGAAGAAAAGGTAATGAAGAAAACAGAGCTTTCATATTGTTAGTTATGATTATCTCGTATTCAATTCTATATAGTGATATTAAATGGTATAGACGTTTCTTTCCAATGAGACCTCTCCATAGATTGGTGACTAAACGCCAGAGCCCTCTCACACACATAGTGTGTCTGTACTCTTTGAATCACTTCCGATATGAAAGGAGAATTTGTCGTTCTCCCACTCATCTCTTGTAAAGGATTTTTGTAGATCCCTTTCCCACCTACTCACGCTATTTAACATAGAGAGATCGTGATCAGAATGTAAAAGTTTATAAAACTTGGAGATTCCTTTATTCTTTCAAACAGGGTTTGTTATAGTATGCCATAGTTTGGAGTCTACCTCTAGCCATGTATTTAATCCAGCGCCATGAAATCCCCTGATCTGCAAAAAAGGGTGCAATCCTTTGCTCGGAACAGGTTGTTCAATGTCAACATATGTATTGTACCCTAGATCCCTTAATGGTTTAGTATTAAGGTTTGGGATGAGGTGTTGATATGCAGAGAGTGGGATGTTAATTTGAAGTTTGGAAGAGGAGTTGGGCAATGAATTAGTGCCTGCTATCCAAGCTTCCAAAGTTGCGGTAATAGATGGTAAAAATGTAATTAAAATTTTCGGAGAAACTGATCTAGCTAGAAGTAGGGCCCGTAGGTCTTTATTAGGGATCACATTCTGTTCTATTTGCCCCCATAATTTGTCTGTAGGGACAAACCATTCCGGTAGTTGGTCTAAGATTGATGCATAATAATACATAGATAAAACAGGCAGACCCAATCCACCTTTCAATTTGTGTTTGGTGAGCATCTGGAAGAGGATCCGCTGTTTCTTCCCTTTCCAGATAAATCTTTTTATGGCCACCTCTAATTTATGGAAATAGGCTCGGGGAATAAGAATTGGGATCATTCTGAAATAATACAGTATCTTGGGAAAAATTAGCATCTTGAATGCTGCTATTCTACCTATCCACAATGTTTCAAATTTGTCTAGCTTCTGCATCTCCATCAAGATGGATTGATATAGTTTTTCAAAGTTATTTTTGAAGGTATGGGAGTACGGGGCAGATATGCAAATACCCAGATGGCCTAATTTTTTATTGGACCATTGATAGGGAAATTTTTCTTTAAAGGAACACAGGGGACCTTTCATTATTGCAAATGGGAGGGCGCAGGATTTGGTGATGCTAACTTTATAATAAGATATTTCGCTAAAGGACTGCAAGGAAGCTGAAATTTCTGTGAGGGATTGCATCGGGTCAGTAACAGTAAGGATTACATCGGTCACAAACAGTCCAATTTTTATGAGAGGTGGACGCTACTTGGATACCTGATATCCGTGGGTTGGTTCTGATCTCAGTCGTTAGGGGTTCCATCACCAGCGAAAAGATGATAGGAGATAAAGGGCAGCCCTGTCTCGTACCATTGGTAGTATTAAAAGGAGCGGATAGGGCATTAGATGTGACTACCTGCGCGGAGGGGACAGTATATAATGCCATAATGGCCGACCTTATAAAGCCAGTGATCCCAAATTTGGTTAGGGTAGCCTCCAAATATTGCCAATGGACCCTGTCAAATGCCTTCTCGGCGTCCAGCGCCAAGAGCACAGCTTGAAGTCCCCTTGACTCAACTAAGTGCAGCAGGTTGGGTATTTTACGAGTTCCATCCGCAGCTTGTCTGCCTTTTACAAACCCCACCTGGTCAGCCTGAATGAGAAGGGGAGTTATATTTAACAAACGGTTAGCTAGGATTTTAGCATATATTTTAAGGTCTGTGTTTAAAAGCAAGATTGGCCTAAAATTTTGGGGGCAATCCGGAGCTTTCCCTGGTTTAGGCAAAGTAACTATAATAGCTTTTAACATCTCAGACGGGAATAAGGATTTGACCACTGCTTCATCGTAAGTTCTTTTAAGGTGGAGCACTAGAATGGATTGGAATTCTTGGTAGTATTCCGCTGAGAAGCCATCCGCCCATGGGTATTTCCCTTTGGGCAAGGCCTTAATAGCCGTAAGTATCTCGCTTTCCAGTATGGGTTGATTGAACCCATCCAATTTCTGACTCAATAGTTTAGGCAATGACAGTTTGTCTAAAAATTTATGGATAAGTTCTGGGGTAGGTTTAGGAGTTGTAGGGTCCTCTCTAAGGTTATATAGTTGGGAGTAATAAGAGCGGAATGCCGCCGCTATTTTATTGGGATGGTATGTAGGTTTATTCGAATAGTGTCCACAATTGACGTTAATTTAGCTTTAGACTGTCTGATGGCGAGATATCTCGCAAGCATCTTACCTGCTTTATTCCCTATAAAAAGTAGTTTTAGCTTTTTTCAAGTTTTTAGCATAACACCATGACATGAGGGTCCTAAGTTCAAGTCTAGCTTTTTGGAGGTCCTGCAAAAAATTGGGAGCTAAGGATTGTTTGTGAAGATGCTCTAATCTAGCTATCCTGTCAAGCGTTTCCAGAAGGGTTTTGTCCCTATCCCGCCTTGCCTGTGAAGCCAATTTCAAAAGGAGACATCTACAATATGCATTATGGGCACACCACATACTGAATACATTCGTAGTAGGAGAAGTATTGATATAGAAGAATTCCTGTAAAGCTGCAGTAAGAGTGGAGCGAAAAGCAGGGTTATAATACATAGATACATTATTACGCCACAGGAACACAGGAGAAAATTTTAACGAGTCCTCAATAATCAAAGAGATAGGTGCATGATCCGACCATGTCATTGGATGAATTTCTGCACTCGAAACATTTTGTAATAGTTGAATATCAGTCAAGAAAAAATCTATTCTTGAGTAGGAGTTATGGGGTGCAGAGTAGTGCGTATAGTCTCTTTCAGAAGCATGTAGACATCTCCATGGGTCGTACAGGTTAACCTTAGAAAGCACATTAGCAAGGGAATGCCTCAGGCCTCTAGATGAATGTGAAACATCCAGGGAATTATTTATGATAGCGTTAAAGTCTCCACAGAAAAGCAGGAAGCCCTTCTGGATTTTTGCCACTTTTTTCCTCAGGGAGTTTAGAAAATGGATCTGATGCACATTGGGAGCGTATAAATTGACAATGGTATAAGTAATATTATTAATTTCACAGACAATAATTAGCTATCTACCTTTTCTCTCAGATTCTTGGGATAGCAACGAAAATGCAACAGAATTACGGATGGCTATAAGGACGCCACATTTCTTATCCGGGCCATTGGACATATACAGTTGTGTTCAAAATAATAGCAGTGTGTTGAAAAAAGTGAATAAAGCCCAAAATCCTTCTAATAGCTTTTATTTCCATACACACAAATGCATTGGGAACACTACACATTATATTCCAAATCAAAACATGAAGAAAAATATATCAAATTTGTGTTGTTCCTCTAAAAAAATAGAAAAGTGAATTTTAGACTGTTCAGAAAAATAGCAGTATTTGTATTCTTCTTTACAAACTCAAACATTCACTATATAAACTGAAAAATGTTTGAAGATTTTGCTTTCCTTTGAATCATTTAATTAATATTTAGCTATATAACCACTGTTTCTGAGAACTGCTGTACATCTGTGTTGCATGGAGTCAACCAACTTCTGGCACCTGTGAACAGGTATTCCAGCCCAGGATGATTGGACTACATTCCACAGTTCTTCTCTATTTCTTGGTTTTGCCTCAGAAACTGCATTTTTGATGTCACCCCACAAGTTTTCTATTGGATTAAGTTCCGGGGATTGGGCTGGCCACTCCATAACGTCAATCTTGTTGGTCTGGAACCAAGATGTTGCACATTTACTGGTGTGTTTGGGGTCGTTGTCTTGTTGGAACACCCATTTCAAGGGCATTTCCTCTTCAGCATAAGGCAGCATGACCTCTTCAAGTATTCTGATGTATTCAAACTGATCCATGATCCCTGGTATGCGATAAATAGGCCCAACAAAGTAGTATGAGAAACATCCCCATATCATGATGCTTGCGCAACCATGCTTCACTGTCTTCACAGTGTACTGTGGCTTGAATTCAGTGTTTGGGGGTCGTCTGACAAACTGTCTCCGGCCACTAGACCCAAAAAGAACAATCTTACTTTCATCATTCCACAAAATGTTGCGCCATTTCTCTTTAGGCCAGTCAATGTGCTCTTTGGCAAATTGTAACCTCTTCAGCACGTCTTTTTTTCAACAGTGGGACTTTGCGGGGGCTTCTTGCAGATAGCTTGGCTTCACATAGGCATCTTCTAATTGTAACAGTACTCACAGGTAACTTTAGACCTTCTTTGATCTTCCTGGAGCTGATTGTTGGCTGAGTCCTTGCCATTTTGGCTATTCTTCTATCCATTCGAATGGTATTTTTACGCTTTCTTCCACGTTTTTCAGGTTTTGGTTGCCATTTTAGAGCATTT